ACATTCATTGGTGGAGCTCATTTTCTGAAAATGACATACCGTGCCATTTCCTCAGAGATGTTCTCCCTTCTTTCCAGGTGTTCTTGTCGTATTGCTCGAGCGTTTTCTGGGTTCTAGAACCAAGTTTATGTTCTTAATAAGTAAAAAGTAAAAGAATTAGGGAGCAGTGCGATGTCCCCTCTATTATTTACAGAATATTTACCTCCTTCAGACGTGTAAGAGCGGCTCTAGCTTCATAGTTGAGTTTTTTTAGAACATCTATCAAAACACTCAGGGGTGGGTGGTCCACTGATGCCAATACCTCTATTCGCCTGAAACCATGTTTAATCGTACTCTATCTTGCACGCTTAATCCTGGTAGCTTCAGCATACCTATGAAAAGCTTCTGCCAAATTAGTTGTCCTCAATTCTTCCATTCTCCATTTGCACCACAAATCCTTAAATGGCCCACTCATCCAGGTACTCTCTAGATAGTCGAGGAACTCCTGACACTTTGTATATGCGTCATGGCCACGGGGTACGGGGGGAGCCCTTAAGCGCTTCCAGTTCCGGCAGCAGCTCTTGCGGGAGAAACATCATTCCTGCAGTATTTTTAATGATGCAGATAGTACCATGAAGTAAGGACGAGGAAGTATTCGCCACCTTTAATCGCTTGCCACCACTTCACGACTCGATCATCTCGCTTCTGCCCTTGAGTATACCGTCGAAGTCCTAAAGCGTCCCTTTTTCGGTTCCACGCCTGCGCGAGATGGAAGCCGCAGCCTTCAACTGACGAATCTGGAAATACGAACTTTGCGGCATAAATTGCGGCTTTTTCAAAGTCAAGAACTATGCGACGGAGTGCTACTTCCCTCAGATTTCTTTTCAAGTGTTCGAAAACCGTCTTGTAAACCGCCCGTGTCTTCTTCTCTGTAATACAAAACATTAGAGGCACGTCTACTTCTTGATCGCATACCCCATGTACACTATACAGCTGGGCATGATGCCCCAAACACTTTGGATGTAGGGAGTGCATTCCGTCCGCCACAACTGCGTAGAGTCCATTTTCACACGCCATCTGGAAGTAACACGTCTTCGGAGTCGAGTCGGAGAATTATAGGTGAAGATCATATTAACACCTGTATGGTTCGGGTTGAGTAATATATATGAAACCCTGGCTCATGGAACTGCAGGAATTGGGAGCCATCTTGCAGAATTTGAAATTCTCGCGGTACATTCTCCATTGTTGCCGAGCGATCCACCCATTTTCCAAGGCTCTTCACAATTGCCTGCTTTCGTGCTTGATAGCCTGACCTCCGGATAGCGGCTCTTATTGCGTCTTCCATCTCTTCTGTAAAGCAACTATAAAGCTGAATATGAAAATCTGAATATAAAGGTGCTAACACTTCAATACCATTGTCCACATTCCTATCTTTAGCCACGATATCAAAATAGATTTGCACAGGTTTCTTTTCGGCGTATGCGCAATCGCTCCTGACGTTTTGAAGCTCCTGAAAAGAAATCATTTTCACTTAACTAGTGCTCAAAAGCTTAGCATAATTCAACCTCATAGACAGCTCTGTTTCCCCGTTCTTCAGCGTACTTTTCAGGGGTGCATTCATGGCTGAGCTCGCTAGGATCTGAGAGGAATTCGTCGCCAATGACCTAAGCAGGAGTAGTTTTTACTTTGGGAGGAAGCCAAATTTGACACTGAATTCGTACCTTGATGGTATCTCCTAGAACGTCCTCACCACGTCTTCTGCTTTCCTTCCTGCATTGCACGCAGCGATACACATCTTCGCTCTTGTTCGTCCTCTGCTTCGCGAAAGTGTAGGCATACGGTGTCCCTGGAATTCTATAAATCAAAACATGGTTTTTTCCTTGCTTACTTACCTGCCTTTCCCCTAGGAACCGTTGCGGTTGCGATGGTAGCTCTCCTTGTGTGACGACTTCCTCTGAAGCTGGGGAAGCATGGGGTACAGTACTCACGTAAAAGGAGGGTGATGGCAGTCTGGGAAAATTGTTGAGGTGTGGCAGAGTAGTAGGTTTGAACTGGTGCTGGGAGGAACGTGCACGGAGGGGCATGAGCAATGTAGTAGGATGGTGTAGGATGCAGGTGAAGGGTGAAACAGCTAGCAGGATCTTGAGCAACACTGTAGGGAGGTGCCACGCCAGAGGGAAAAGCTTGGTCGACGTAAAGTTGGGATACCGGTACGAAAAAGGAAGTTTGTGGAGTAAAATTAACATGGAAGGGTGTTGCTGGGGTGAAAACTGTGTGAGGGGCCAAATGAAAGGATGAAGAGATCTGAAACCTCAGAGAAACTGGAAGGCGCACTAGAAGACATTACGACACAACAAAGTTTGCCAAAGCTCACTGTTGTATGTAGCTGCATCTATGCTAGCTTAAATACCTGCCATAACCTCTCCTCAAGGTGTTTCTTTTTACCAGGGGTCCTGCGAAGTGGTATGGGGGGTAGCCTGAGGTCCTGAAAAGTCATAGAGGAGGCACATGAAGGATATATCTCTAAAACTGATTTTGAAAAGTCATAGAGGAGGCACATGAAGGATATATCTCTAACTGACTTGCTTGAGGGAGGACACTAATGTTTGGCAAGAGACGTAAGGTTTTCCCCGGAAGTATGCAGATCTCCTTGATTCCATCCACTCCTGTTTGCTTGTTTCTCAATAAAGTGTTCAGGTGTAGTTTTGTAGTTTCTAATAACTTGCTTAAGCTTTCAGTTATAACTAGTTAGTGATAGTTGATTGGTGATAACGGGTCATTTTAGATTGTTTTTTTATATTTTAGATTGGCAGTATTTTCCCTTTTGAATACATATTCTTTATTCATGTTGTTTTTGTTGTATGGTTTTCCAATTTGACTGCCATTTCTACGTGTCTAGTACACATGTTTGGGTGGTGTTGTGACCCCTAGGCCGTCTCCCTTAATGAGGTCACTTCGCAGTTATCCGCGGAGTATTCTTAATTAGGTGTGAATCGTACCATTTTATACTGACCCAAACTTCACGTGTTGTAACACTGGGCAGGACCTCTATCCACTCCAATACATAGCTTCCCTTATCGTTCCCATGAAA